ATAGAAAATTTTCTTTTCAAAACTATTAGCTTCTTTAATCATAAACAAATAGTAGTATCACAGAAGAAACAAACAACGATTAAAACTTAAAAATAAGCATTGCTGCATTTGAAAGATGATGAATTGGCAGGCATATCAGTTATGAATGAATCCGTAATGATGATGAATTATTGTTTTTATAAAATTAAGCTCAAACAGTTTTGCTCATAATTTTGCTGTTGCATTATTAATTATAAGTAGAACTTAGTATTGTCGAATATCCAAAACACGGTGTAATACTCCTCAAAGGATATGCAGCTGAACGATTTTCCTACAACGATATTTTATCGTCAAACGTTATCTACAAGCACGACGACAGCGAAACTTTCGAGGATACTGTTTGTTTAAAAGTTAGACTTACGATGTGATCCAACAAGTAGTCTAGTGATTTCAAAAAGTTTAGCAGGCTTATTTTTGTTCTTTTTCAGGTACATGTTAAATCTAAAAAAATTGTTTTCAACAACACAGATAAAGTATATAAAATTTCGATACACATAATACCTCTCAATGATCCACCAAATTTACGGCCTGGCTGGCGTGGTAGCATATTACGAGTTGCTGATGGCGGAAGGTTGAGTATTCGCAGTAGTTAAAATTGCATGAAGAAAAACATTTTGACATTTTATTGTTAATAAATGCAGAAAAAAAAAAGATTTAACGCTTAAGTAAGTGAAATTTGCTATTTCTTATTATATAGCAAATATACAGGATGGTCTTGGATGATGAAACAATTATGCTGTCAGACGTCGATAATGATCCAGATGCTGTACGGGTTTCAGTAATTTCTGCAAAAGGTGTACGTCTAGAAAGTGCTGAAGAGCAGAATGTAGTTGAATTTTCTCAACGAGAATTTTTGAATCGTAAGGTTGGTAGAAAAAAAAAAGAATTCTTTGAATGATTTGATATTTAAAATAACGATACTACAGGATATATACGTAATGCTTTAGATACGTTTGGTACACCTTGGAGAAAATGAACACTGTGAACTTCTTCTTTCTGCAAAAGATAGAGAAAAACGATCTTCAGCATTAAATTTAACTGTTCTTCCTGTTCCTGTGAAGATTATTTCAAAAGTTAATACTGGTTCGTTTCCGACCTAACTATTACAACTCTTACAACGACTGTCAATGAAATTTTCATAACTAATGTAAATACAAAAGTTTCAGCTGTAGCAAAGCAGAGAACTGTAAAATATAAAATAATAATTTTAAAAGCTTATTTTTTAGGACTTCGTTTGTTCTATCTGACGTCTGAATTAATTACATCTTCAAACCTGAGTTTTGCAATAAATTGGCCAAACTTTGCTCTCAGATATTTAATCGCAGAGGAACCAAGCTATGGTTCTGTAGAATGCAAAAATAGTGAAGGCAAGTTTCAAAAATGTCGTGGATTTGATCAAGTCGATATAGAGCAAAACAGAGTTCGTTATGTTCATCAAAGTGATGCACCACCTCCTAAAGATTATTTTACGTTCAAGGTATATTTTTAACTCTTACTATAGACAAATTTTATTTTTAATTTAGAGGTTTTTAATGTTAGATGTTTTGAGGAAAAATGAAAAAATTTTTTACACGAAAAATTTTTATCTATCATGATTTCGTTTAACGTTTGAAGACAAACCATCAATTAGCTTGTAGTTCCTCAAAAACGTTTGCAAAAAAAGAAGCTTATCATAGACGTTTCTAACATGAAATTTTATTTTAGGTTTTTGCTGGAAACAAACTATTAAATGTGAACAACTTTACAATTGTGTTCATTCCATTACGAGTGAAAATTTTTATGCAAAAACCATTTATAATCAGTGGTGTCGAAAAACTTGCAATAAATCATCAAAATTTGTTTACTTGGGTTTATCCAAAAAATTTTCCATTGAAATTAATCATCTATACAGTAACTGCAACACCAAGATACGGCACACTTTTCAAAAAGAATAACCCCAGAAAAAGGATTACAATGAAAGGAAATTTCACACAACAGGTTCATAATTTTCAAGTGAGAATGAAAGCCGAAAACTGCTTTACTATTACTGCTTTCTATTTTCTAAATTACGTGATTCTTTATTGTGATATTGGTACTCGTTAATTTTACTAAGCGTACCAAAAAATAAAATTTTCTCTTTTCTGCCTAATGGGCAGTTGTTATTTCTGCGGTTAGGAGTTTTTTCGCCTTTATAGAGATAAATGATAGGCAATGAAAGTCAAATGCTTGCCCATTCTTTTTGCACAAATCAAATTTATTGAAGCACAAAGAACTGCATTATTTATGACGATGTATTTTGTTTAAAATTTATGTTTAGCACTAAGTTAAAATTACTTTCCATAACTTATACACTCATGAGTAAAATTCAGACTTTCAACATTAGATGAGTTGATTTCAGGAAATTAATGATGGTGACGTGTCTTATATGAGTCGCTTTACGGCAAGTCCAGTGGTAAACGATTTTTTTGAGTTTCGTATCGTATATCCACTGATATTTGAGGAAAGCGTTCGCTTTAATATTTTGGTGGTTACCGAGCAAGCTTATCAGTACACTAATAAAACAATCAGTTTAGAGGAAGGAGGTACCATTACGGTAGGAACAATAACGTTCTCTAAAATTCTTTTACGTAGACTTGAAATAGATAAAAAGATGTATCTATTGTTGATATCTCAGTTTTATTGTCTGAAAACAGTTCTTATTAAAATACCAGCATTATTTCTCAAGGAAAGACAATTGCCACACGTAGAAATCGCACCAAATATAGCACAAAAACTACCACTTAATTTGAAATATTGCAACTACAAACATTGTTTTCAGATGTCTGCTGATCACTTCAATTATGAAACTAGAAACTGTAAAGATTTCATCTACACAGTTGAAAAAGGTCCGCAGTTTGGCGAAATTATCAAAAGAACTGTCCATGGAGATGTTGCTGTTGTTAAATCTGGAAATTTTACCTGTAAGGACATCAAAGAAAAGAGGCAAGTCCTTTGGCATTAATGAATATTTCCAGACTTCTGCTTAGATTTAACATTTGTTGTATTATACTGTTTTCTATGAAATAATACAAATTTTTTCATAGCAGTAATGGTAAATGAGCGAATATAAACTTTGTCTTAGAAATGACGCTGATGGCCATCTATTTGAATTAAACCTTCAACTGCTTGAACTGAAATCACAACTAACAGCCAGTGGAAAAAAGTTGTAATGTATTTTATGGGAACAAAAGTGTTTCAGAATTCGATATCGACATTTGGGTGGCGAAAATACTGCAGATAAAGCCTACATTGTTGCCAACAGCTTAAACGAGATACAACCAGTTACAGAAGGAGTGGAAGAACAAGCAGTTAAGATACCATTCTGGATTGACTTCAAAATAATACTCAAAAATGATAATGAACCTCAGCAAATCGCCAACTCAGAGCTTCAGGTAAGGACTTGTGCATTCCTCTACAAGGATACTTGTCAATAGTTATTGTGCAGAAAACAAACAACAAAATTTTCAGATCATTGAAGGTGGAAGCCGTCGGCTTTACTGGTATATGCTTCCATGGACTGATGCAGATATTAACTCTGATCCATTAGTTTTTAAGATATCTGACGACTTTGAAAATGCTGCATTTTACGCAAGAAATAACCCAAACGCGCCAGTCAAAGAATTTACATCTGGTGAACTTATACATGGTGATATCATCATCAAGCATTTCAGAGGCCGTAAAAAATACTTTGAAATCAAGTTAGTGCGAATTTTTTTTTTGTAAATTTTTTGAAGTTCTCTATAACGTAACACTTCTTGCTGATTCAACCAATCTAAAAATGACTCAAAAAATTACACAGTGACAGTAGCTTGAATAAACAAGATTTTTTATTTTAGTTATTCTGTCACAGATAATTCTCATCTAAAGAAGTCAGTGTTAAAAGTTTCTGCATCCAAGCCATTCATTCGATTAGCACGGTCGACAATACACATTCCACCTGGTATTCGATCAGCAATAATGCCAGTTACAAAAAACGAGTTGTTAATTACAACAAATTTTGATGCGAATGATACAGACATTATTTTTCACACTATGTCAGATAACTGGCTCACGGCTGATCGCATGGAACCATTAGATCGTTTCACCCAGGCGGTATTATTCCTCTTCGGTTATATTATATACTATTAACTAAGAGCACTTCATGAAAGTCTGAAATTTTTTAATGCCTACTATGACAAAAATTTCAGCAAATCAACAGTGAAAAGATATTATACCGCTTTGGATCGGCAGGTAAAACTGAGGAACCAATAGCTGTAAAGATTTTCAGTCAGGAAATCAGAGATTCGTTCAAGGTTCTAAGAGGAAACCCAAAGAAGTTAAGAATTGTTATGCAAGAAGTATCACCACTAACTGTTACATTTTCTTCTATGTGCAGAATTGGTGGCAAAAATTTGAAAGCTGTTTCCATCGGTCATGATTCATCAAAGTTGTTATACGCAGTAGTCAAGGAACCTGAAAACGGAATGCTTCTGATTGAGGACAAACAAGGTAAACGTAATCTTGTTTTAGAATCATTTTATTGAGTAAATTATTCAAAGTTTAATAAACGTACAGAAATTTTTTGCTGTTTTTCTTAACTGCTAAGAAATACTGGTGAATGCAGCTTTATAATGAGAAGCAAAAAGCTTCAAGTGAACGACTATGATGTATTTTATAAATGTTGGTTTATACAAAAATGACATTACAAGACGTTTGAAAAGTTTTTT